TCCTCCTCCAGCTGCAGCACCCGCGACTTCTCAGCCACCGTGGTCAGCTGCCGGGAGAGAGGGAGACGGTGAGCAGGCCGGCTGGAGAGCGAGGGGGGATCCGCAGGGGTGCGGGGGCTTCCTCACCACGCAAGGGCCCCAATCCCCGAGGGGTAAGGTCGTGAGAAGGGAAGGGCGTCCCCTCCTACCCAAGTGCTGGCTTTTCTCACGGCCTTGCCCACCACACCTCCCAGAAAGAGGCCCCTGACTTGTACCCCAAAGATTCAGGGAGTCAACTGTCCCCACTGCACCAGGAGTGGGGCAAATTGGTGGTTAAAAACCCCACTTATTCGAGGTTATGGCTTTCTTTCAGTTTAAAGGGCAGAGGCGACAGGGAAGTTTGCAACTCCCCCAGCTGGAATGGGTGGACTCAGGGGCTCTCTGCAGGGGGTGGCCAAAGAAGGGCCGGTCGAATGCCTAAAGCAGAACAAAATTAATGCTCCCAGACCTGCCTCCTGAGGGAAAACTCCGAGATCAGAGGTTCCACCCTCCCGAGGTTCCACTTTGATCGTGTCAATGGTCACAGATTTGGAAACAAAAATATTTAAGCGTTTTAAATCCGTTACAAGCTTAAACATTTTTGTTTCTGAAGCTGACCTTTAGTTCAATGAACCTGGTTTTGTTTCTTTCAATCAGGTTGGGGTGCCTGGGTGTGGAGGGCTGCAGCCTATCAACTGTGACTGGGTCAGTTTCTGCCAGTAGCCTCTGTGCACGCGCGTGTGTACTGCACAAGCACACGGTCACCGGGCAACACTTAGTGTGCAGTGCCCTCTGTGTCCCCCAGGTACCCCCGCATGCACACACTCCCTGGTGCTGAGGCCAACATGCAGAGACTGACCACTGCTCACCCCACACCCATGCTGTTTACGCCCCAATCACTGCTCGCTGGCTGTTAGCACTGTCGCCAGGAGAACAGTGGCTGCACTGTCACTGTTTGGATGTGTGTACCTGCACGGGGGCCAGTCCCAAGACATGCATGGGCTGTGGAGGTGTCAGCTAGGCCTGGAGCCTAGACTTGGAACCAGGCCCTGGGACTTGGGGGGAACCACCCCCAAACAGAGCTTTCCCTAACCTAGGAGCACTCCCTCCTCCCCCAGCCCCAGGTCCTTCAGGGGGCCCCTCCTAGCACCACATTTAAGACCTTCCAGACTAGACTAACTGGATCTAAAGTCCCCCAACCTCCACCTTCCCAGCTGGGAGAAGGGAGGCATGGATAGGTTGTCTCCATGACTGCCCTCAGAAGGCAGACCTGTCCCAAGAGGCCCCTGATTTCTGAACCTGACCGAGCCTTGTCATGGCAATGCATGGGAGGGAGGGCGCGGAGGGTCTCACAGGACATTCCCGGCCAATGGGACCGGCTGGGGAGCACAGTCCCAGAGAGCCAAGCCCCCTCCTCCCCAATAGGCATCCGTGTCACCACTTCCCTCCTAGAAAGGGCACAAAAGGGAAGAAACAATGAGGACAGCAGCCGAGGACAGAGAAAATAATCAAACAGAGGAGGCTCGGGGCGCCAGGGGCAGGGCGCTGGCGGGCGGAGGCGGCAGGCGTGTTACCCTGTTGTCGGCTAATTCTCGGAGCAGGCGCTCGGCCTGCGCCTTCTCCAGCAGTAGGCTCTGCTCCAGCTCCCCAATGCGCGCGTGCTCCAGCTGTGTCTGGGTCTGGTCCACCCGTGGGTGGGAGGGAGGGGCAGGGCAGAGGGCACA